TCCAGGGGTTTCCACTACCGTGTGCGGAGTGAAGACGAGCATAAAGAAAGAGCCACGCGGCTGAGACCATCCACGTCAGACTCAGAACTGACCAGTGAACGACGACGGAACTTGATACGAAAACGGGACACGCGAAGCGTGCCTAAGCCCTTTCGCTCTAAACGACGGGCCGTAGCACGGTGGGAAGCTCGGCAATATTTTTTGGATTGAATTCGTACGTCCCTCTCCTCTCGTGCCAAACTTCCGCGCGCATTTTGCGTCGGTTGAAAAACGATCGACTTACTTCATCGGACCAACACGGGGGATTTCAGTTCTGTCTGTGTCCCCACACTCTATTGCCAAAAATCCTTGGCACACCCCATCTTGTTGTTTTTTCGGGCCTCTTTTTGCATACCTAGCACTCCGAACGAAAGACAGCACAGGGCGTGAGGTTGGTATCGGAGACGACACGTGTCGGTTCTGAATCTTCTGATGATAGTGAGTCGAACTGGCGAGAGGTAGGAGAAATCCTCAAGTGGCTCGTCGAGATCGCCCAGTGACCAGGTCTCAATCTGGTGGGTTGCACCCGCCATGCCGATGGCAGACGGTACTAGAGTGATCGTTAGCATTCCTGCCCCTTTCCCCTTCTTCCCCAACCATACCCATCCTGAGGGTTGGTTGGAAGCCGTCGAAGCCCAAGGCTACAGCGCGGGTGATCTTCCCCGCGTTCTTCCTTTGCTACTCCGCAATACATCACACGACTGGCTTAGAAAGCATACGTGGGTAGATTGGAATACTTTCAAACAAGCCTTTTTGGCCCGATTCGATAAGGTCAGTGAAGATGCCGCCTGGTACGTGCTCAAAACTCGGCCACAAGGACCAGGGGAGTTATTGCCCGATTTCGTGGATCGATTTCAAACCACGTTGGACAAATCTGGGCGACACGAGAAATCCGCTCGAGATCTGTTTATCGATCACCTACGAAGTCCGACATTGAAAGGGAAATTACAGAAAAAAGTCCCGCCGAAGACACACCAGTTATCGGCTATCATCGCTAAAGCGTTGGAGCTGGACCTGACTGATACAAAAAAATATATCAGTCAGGGGGACGAGGATATTACAGATACCATACGGGATGTAGCGGCTAAAAGGCGATCGTGGCTGCGAGCGGTAGAACGGTTCTMCCCCCGCCCCGACCATGACCTTCCCGATGGGATCGTTTCCAATATCCCGCCTGTTTCGTCTTCCTCTCCCCCGGTGAATCAACGGATCGCGACAGTCAAAAGTGGGATCTCACCCGAACCCCCCTCGCCATCCATAACCAACTTACATCTTGCCTAGATGATCCATACGGCCACTACCAAGCAGTCCGAATGGATGAGCAACTTGATCCAAATGCAGGCCGCTCACATGGAGCGGATGGAACAGATAATGAGCATGTTAATTAAGCCTAACCCAGCCCCTGCTCGGCTTGCCCCCGCGTCATTTCCACTCTTGCCCGCCCCGCGTGCACCAGGGTATGCACCTCAGTTCCCTCACCCAGCTAATCCAGCAGGAAAGATCGAGTGTTTTAATTGCAAACAGCCCGAACATTTCGCCCGTGACTGCCCGCAGCCAAAGCGTAGTCAGCCCCCACCTGCGGCTGCCTCTGTGGCCCTGAATCAAGGACGAGTGGCCGCGTTGATGGATACGGCCCAGGGAGGAGAGCTCGTGACATATGCCCCAGAACAGCCTTCCCCCTCGATGGCAACGACGTCGACATTGGGAGCTTCTTCCTCTGACGCTGCTGACGTGGTCGATCCAGTTGAGTATCTTCATCTCGCAGGCATGATCGGAGCAATCCGATCGGCCCCGGATGATCTCGAATGGGTCGATCGGGACTCCAATCCTGGTCCGCAGTTTTGGACGGGAGACATTGACGTATTGAGAACTCTCAAGCAATTAGACATTGACGTTTTCCTCACCATATCCGAAGCTGCGAATGATAAACTATTGCAACACTGTCAAAAAAATCAAAAGCGTTTCACCTATCAACGCATACAGCGAATGTTGAAGAAGGAGGAAGAAAGCGAGGAAGTCGCACCGCCCGAACCCGAAGCCGGCGAACCTGAAGCCGCACGCATAACAGCGATCTCTTTAGCAGAAAAATCACTTCGTACAAGCACGACCGGTATTCTGGAAGAGCGCAGAGTGTGATTGTGAAGTTTGGGGCAAGCCGTTTAACGCCCTTATCGACACAGGGTCTTCTGCAGTGGCCATATCCTTAGATGCGATCAAAAAGACAGGACGACTTGGATCCATTCTTCCTCAATCTGGCAAAGACAATTATGTCTCAGCCGACGAGGAAGCAATGAACATCGTAGGCATTATTGAGAATCTGGCTGTAAAGGTCGGACGAGTGCACGTCCTCGTCAACGTGCTCGTGATAGATGTGCGTTCCTATTCCGTGTTGTTGGGATTACCTTGGGCGATGGCGGTGGGCGCACGACTGCATTTCGATTCGAAACAACTTGTGCTCACGCAAACTGGGGAAAAACCTCAAACTGTTCCCTTGCGAATTTCCACCCGAACGATAAAACGAACCCCTAATTCAGCCCAAATAGGGATGATTCGATACATTAATCCCGAGGAGTGTTCTTCCTCAGACATCGATAGTGGAATCGGGGAACAGGAATACAAAGAAAAGCTGCCTAGCAAAGATGAATGGAAGCGTCTGATCGAACTTTTCGAACACGAAATTCCCGAAGAATTCCAAGTGTGCCCCGTCACTGCCCGAAGCTTCCACGTGGATTCGGGAGACAGCGCGCTTGCGCCTCCGATAACCCAAGTTAGTCCTTCAGTCCTTCTCGGGGAACCCATATTACAAGTATCTAACCTGGCCGATGATTTGGAACCCCCTCGCACTTTGTACGAAGGAGCTGTCTCCTTACGAACGCGTTATCAGCAAACGGAACAGTATTTGGATGTTTCTGTTTTTCCGCCCAGATCGTTACTAACGACAGGAACCACCATCGCCTTGATTAAACAGGAGGCGCAAGCACCGGTAAGTGATGTACCTGATCTGATGCAAGAAATGACGGATCTAACGGGGCTAACTGTGGAACCGACCTCGGTTGGTTCAAAGACTGATGCTAAAACTAAGGAAACGGAGATGACCAGCTCCACTGAGTCCCAGATGATAGCAACTGTCTTCTCTGTTCGCACCAGTATTTCCGTTTTTTCTAGTCTCTATGATCGGCGGGAACGGCCGGTTGATTGGGTCGATATGCCCCTTAGGATTTCCGGGGAATCAACAATCACCCTATCGAGTCACGTTCCCGCGGAACTTCGGAAGTCGTTAATCTGTGTGTTAAATGGTTACGCAGAAGTATTTAGCATACACGATAATGACATCGGCTTAACTAATGTGATCGAGCATGCCATTCTCATGAGAGACCATCCACCCATTAGCTGCGTTCCTTACCGATACTCGCCAACTCAACGAGCGGCCGCTTTTCAGCGGATTAAAGAGTTCGAAGCTAATGGATGGATCGAACCCGCAATAGGTCCCTGGTCTTTTCCCGTAGTAATCGTGCCTAAATAGGCCAGTGGGATTCGCATTTGCATTGATTATCGAAAGTTGAATGATATCACGATCAAAGATGTGTACCCCTTCCCCCGGATTGATGAGTTTTTGGATGCGATTGGGAGTGCTTGATTTTTCAGCAAATTTGATGTTCGCCATGGGTTCCATCATCTTCTTGTTCAAGAAGAAGATCGTCCGAAAACGGCGTTTGTGCTTTTCGAGGGTATGTGGCAGTGGATTCAATGTCTGATGGGTATCTGCAACGCCCCCGCGAGCCACGAACATGGCTTTTCAGAATTTCGTGCGGAAGACTCGTTTGGCGCAGAGCATCATCAACTACTGCGTGATTGTGTACATGGATGACATCTTGGTGTACTCGAGTTCCTACGAGGGACACGTGCAGCACATCGAATGGGCACTGCACGCGTTACGAGATGCGGGTTTCAAAGTGGCGCTTGAGAAGTGTCAGTTTTTTCTTACCACCATTTCCTTCTTGGGACACGTGGTGACAGACAAGGGACTCCAACCGGAGCCGCAGAAAGTGGCAGCTGTCAGGAATGCGCCGGTGCCTACAACTATCATGCAAGTTCGCGCCTTTTTGGGCCTGGCCTCGTACTACCGAAGATTTATCAAGGGCTTCACGACGATTGCGGGACCCCTCACAAATCTGTTTCGCAAAGATCAGCCGTTGATCTGGACGCCGCAGTGCGATCAAGCGTTTTCCAAACTCAAGGCCGCTCTCATTTCGGCTCCGGTCCTTATAAGACCGGATCCCGAAAAGGCTTTTGTTCTCATCGCTGACTGGCAGCCAGAAGCAATTTCGGCGATCCTTGCCCAGGTGGGACCAAGCGGACTTGAGAATGTGGTGGAGTATGCGTCCAAATCGGTGCCCGCCTGCAAGCGCAACTACGCCGCTCCAACGGGAGAATGCTACGCGGCTCTCTGGGGAATCAGTCACTTTCGTGCTTACTTCTACGGGCGAAAGTTCACCTTGGTAACCGATCATGAGCCCCTGTTGGCTCTGAAGAAATCGAAGGATTACTCGGGCATGATCGGGCGATGGACAACGGTGCTGCAGAGCATGGACTTTGACATTCGTCATCGGAAGCACGAGAGACACGGGAATGCGGACGGACTTACACGACTGCACCGACCTGAGAAAGTCCCGAAGAGTGAGGGGGTGATTCCGTGGAACAAGCCCGAACAGGAGATCGGACCTCGGTACGGCCAAATGGAGATCTTATCAAAGCAGTAAGTGACACAAGGACTAATCTGACTGTTCTACCCTCTCTACAATACAGTCCCATCCCTTCCTCCTCGGTCATCATGACTACCCCACCTGCCTCTGCAACCCCATCATCTCCTACTAATTCTGCCCCTCTCACGTCCTCAGAATTCTTTGCCACCCTCCAAGATAAATTCTGTTATTTTTGCACGTGCATTGCACGGGTTTATGGGGTCGACTGTCATCCTTTCGAAACCGGGTTTGTCGATTGGGTAGAATGTGCCACGTGTGTCAATCGTGCGAACGGAGCCTGCGTTCGATATCGGACGAGTAGCAAGGAATGGAGGTGCCCCGTGTGTCGAACGAACAAACTCCCCACGGAGGTTCGATTCGAGGCCGCCCTTACGGACGACCTTGAATACGACGAAAAATACCAACGAGCGGAGGTTTGGACGGATAAAATTTTATTGGCGAAATTAGCGAGATTATCATTGGGTCACCTCACCAAACACGACAGACGTAGGGCGACCGAGAGATCTCGGGACTATCGATGGATCAACGGTCATTTGGAAAAGCGTAAAACTGACGGATCGGGTTCGTGGTTGACGGTTCCCCATCCATTCCAAAGATATGATTGGATCCGATCTGCTCACGAAGAACAGACCACTCATTTCGCGATACGTGTCACGGAGGCAACTGTTTTTTCTGGTCCAATATACGAGATGATGTCAAATACATTGTCGCTAACTGTCTGGTTTGTGCCGCTGATCGCGCCCCAATACGGGGACCAAACACGATAGTACCAGCGGAAGTAGAGCGTCCTTTCCAGCGAGTCAGTATGAACATGACAGATATCGACGTGCCACCTGGCCCAAACCGCTGTGAATATTCTATCCTGTTAGTATGAATAGACCATTTTTCCAAGTACATCAAAGTCTATCCCTGTAAGACCCGAAAAGCCGCATAAATAGCCACGTACATCGAACGGTTCCTCTATACCCATCTAGATACGGAAGAAATTCTAACCGACAATGGGTCTGAATTCAAAGGCGAGGTGGAAGAACTGCTTGCGCGAAGGGGCGTCACGCTCCGACATACGGCACCCCACGTATCCCAGTCGAAGGGGTTGGCCGAAAATGCCAACCGTATGATTAAAGCCGCCCTTCGCAGGAACTTAGCAGCACACGACACGCGTCCGTGGCCCGAGATCGTATATCAGATCGTCGGGATCCACCGGGCCACTCCTCATGAGTCCACGGGGTTTACCCCTTTTCAGCTTTGAACTAATAGCCTCCCCTGTGTCGACTACCGGGGTAACTCGGAAATTGCCGAAGCAGGGGGTAGAGACACGCGTGCAGCCCTCAAGGCCAAGGCCAAAAGGTACACCGAATTAATGGAACAGGCCGTCCCGAAGCTAGCCCGAAAAAGGCAAAGGATGACCGAATTGGCCCACGACAGACAGGTCCGTAGCTACGAGGCTCGGAATGGAAATGCTGGGCCCCAGCATCGATATAACTTAGGGAACCTAGTGCAGGTACATAAATGTGCACGCAACCGGAAACTTGCTCCCAAGTTTTCTGGCTGTTTTCGTGTTGTCGAGCTCGGACCCAACAGCGCCAACACGGTGCGCATCGCGCCTGAGGCCAGTGCCAACCATAGCTCTGTCCCCATCGTCCGGCATACCTCCTACCTCCGTCTTCTTCCTCCTTCTGATCTTCCTCCCTCTTCTTCCTCGGAAAGCGAGGAAAACGACGACGATCTAACTCTCTCTCCGCTCTCTCCCTCCTGTCCTTCGTCCTCCTCTCCAACCTCGCCATGAGTTTCATCACGGAGCGGGCTCTTGACGAACAGTTGTTGCAGCCACGTGGCCACATCTTAGAGATTCGGCAAGTTTGTCACCCTCGGCTCAATATGGATCTTCGGTGTTTGGCGCAATTTTTCTGCGACGTGGGTGTGTGTGCCGCCGCCGCGTTTCAAATCGAAGGGAGTCCTCACGCAATAGTATTTGCGGAAGTGATCGCAGTTCATTGGCGAGCGGCTCCCAGAACGAGCCACGTCACCACGGTTGCGGAACTTGCGGCGTTCAGCGGCGACATCAGCTCGGTCAATCCGCAGAGGCATACCGCGATCTTGACTTCGCTGTGCGAGTGGACGGAGCAGGTGTCCGGCGTGTGGCAGCACGTCCTCGCCCGACCTGGGCACAACCTCATTCCGACCTTTGCGCTGGATCTTGGCGACATCCGCCATTCTCCGCGCGAGCGGCCCGTTGCAATCCCCACCCACGTCCCCAATGAACCACGTTGATCCTCTTGCTCCTCTCTCTATCTTCGATCTCCCCTCTCTTTTCCCCACCTTCTGGCAATCCGATCTTCATCCTTCTCTTTCCTTCTCGTTCGAGCCTCTTTCAGTCCCTCTTATCAATCCTGGGCATTGGCGGCAGTGGCGTGAAACTTTTGACGAATTGTCCTTCTGCTTGGCCCGAGTATGGGTAACGTGGACGCGAACCTACGAGCGTCCTGCATGGATCGAGAGTGTGGAACTGCTGATCATACAGGCTTGGAGATCTAACATGGAGGGCGATCTTCTTGGCTTTCTCTTTGGATCGGTACAGCCGGGGCGCCGCCAGCGGATTGCGCAGGAGCTCATTGAGCCGATTGTGCAATTGGCGGACGATCTCTCGCCCGACATCGATTCGCAGAGTGACGAAAGTCCTGCTCCGCACGTTCTCGAGCGGTCATTGGATCCATATCTTCAGTGGACTGCGTGCTTGGAGGAGCCCAGGGACGAAGATACGTTGCTGTCGCGGCAGGAGTATCGGAAGCCGTACAATATCATCCCTCACGCCTTCTATCCGAGGGCAGAGGAAGTGGTGATCGACGACGACGACGAAGAGGACGAAGACGAGGAAACATCGAAGGAGGGAAGCTATAGCGGATATAGCGAGGGTGAGCTGAGTGAAGAAGAAGAGGAGGAAGAAGAAACCGGGTCTGAGTGGGAATCTTTGCCGGAGGAAGCAACGCGCATGGGAACGGAGGCGGAAGATCCGGAAGCAGTGCGAAAGCGAGAAGAAATCACCACCAGGAAGCGCCAGCTGGAGTTCGCCAGCGGAGCCAGCCTGCGCATCGATAACGACCTGACCAGAGATCCGGAGCCGCCAAAGCCCGAAGATGGCGATCCTACAACCGCCACCTCAAGTACCGCTCGACGGAGACAGAGCCGATCCCCCTCCTCCTCCAGCCCCACCCGTCCCCCAGTTCGCCCACGTACCGATGCGGGCGATAGGCCTTCGTCCTCCGACGCTATCCCGCCGACCTCTTGATTTTCTCACCCTCGAACAAATCCGCACCCCCGTCACCTTCCCCCTTCATCCCTTCCTCCCCCATCTCTTCCGCGACTTCTACTCCACCCGCCTACTCGCTACCGTCCACCCCCACGCATCCCTTCAACCCGCTGCCCCCACGTTCTGCTGGCATACTATCCTGTTGTTCAGCGCTGCATGGGAACGATGCAACGTGGTAGAAGTCTACTGCGTAACCACGGGGACAATCCCCGCCTGTCGCCACTACGAGTTCTTTCGAGCGACGCTTTTTCGCACCCTCTCCTCCTTCTATCGCGACTACCTCGCCTCCCTCCCTCGCAGCGGCGATCACTTCCCTCACTTCCACCGGATCATCCGATATAAGGAGCTTCCGGTGACGATGGAAGGGATGAATCGCTACCTTCCCCCACTTCCTCCTCGTCGTCCCCGTGAGATCCCCTCCATGTACCGACTCTTCTGGCCCATTCCAACTAGGAGGTAGATCCCGATCACGTGACTATTCCCCCTCCCCCTCCTCTCTTCATCTAATCGGCAGAGGAAAACGACCCGAATCAGTAAGCTACGCGAAGATCACGCCATCGACGATGACGTCAACCTACGCTTTAACTCAACGGGCAACGATAAACTAGGGTGCAGAGCACACGAAGAACCGGCGGACGATGATGGTGTCACCTGGATGACCATCGATGATTCCAGCAGCACGAGCCCACAGAAGATTGCAATTGAAGTTGGCGTCAACATGGACTCTGGCCGGATCATTTGTTAATACGCTTGGTTCCTCATGCATCACTCTGTTCTCTCCCTCTCTCTCTCCTTTTCCGCCATGACATGCAATCAGGAGATCGCATAATTTTGGAACCCCCTGCGAGTCACATATGTGACGAACTACCTCCCGAACCCGTGCTATCTTTCGTACCCTTTCTTTTGCTTGTATCATACCAACCCCATAAAAACCCCGCTTCGTTTTCTTGATTTCGGGTGCCGAATTTTTTGGCCCCCATCTTTTGGAAGCTTTTTCGATTCTCGGGTTCTGCTTTTCCTTTTTGCGATTCGGGAAATACATAGGAAATTACGTGCGCCTTAGCGAGCGCACTGGGAATTGGGTTCGACAGTTGGGAATTCCGAGATAAGCGGAACTTCGATGCATCCTTTTTGTGTGTGAATGTTCATGGTCGCGTTGGGGAAAACTCTCGGAATTTTGTGTGAATACGAATAGGCGTAGGATTTTCTTTTCTCGCGTCGCTTTTTCGCGCGCGGATATGGTGATTTCAATTTTTGAATTAGGACAGAGGCAAGCTGTAACTGTTTCGGTGCCTTTTTCTCTCTTTTTGTTGACGGCGCCAAACATGCAAAAACTTTCTCCTCTCTGTGCCCCGCATCACTCCCTCCCCTTGCTCCCTCCTCTTTCTCTCTCCTCGTAACTGATTTTTTTTTTTTCTCTTTCTCCCGCTTTGCTTTTTGCGCGCCCATTTCCCTTTCTTGATCATCTGAATCTTGGACCCGTCTTGCGCTACTTCTCGCGCCTTTTCTCTTCTCACTCTCTGAGTCCAACACACGACGCCCGGTTGATCCTTCGATAACTCTCGCTCACCATTCAGGTGCGTGGATCAATAGGATCTTCCTATTGCGCGACGAATCTAATTGGTTGAACTTTGAGTTTCGAAGGATCAACAAGGCTTCTACGGAGCGCTCTTCTCAAAGTCTTCTCCTCCTGCTTCTTTCCCTACACTTCGGTTTTCCCCCTGCCTTCTCTCTCCCTCGCCCCCCTTCTCGCCACTATGAATTCCGCAAACGCGCCCGCAAAACTCTCTTACGTTCTTGACTCCTGAGCCAACTTCCGGGAAGCAGTGGCTAGGCAGAGTGTTTGGTGCGAGTCGGAAAGTCCTGTCGGGCTGACGATAGGCTGATCGATTGCGCGCTGGATCGCCACGACGGACTGTGGGATCWGGGCGGACCGCRTCGAGTTTACGTCAGCGGGGTGACGATCGCAGTGGTGGGAGTAGCACGCGACGGTCGGGATCGTCGGTGCGAGTATGAGGATCGATGAAGTGGAGTTGAGTGAGTGATTGGCCCAGGGCCATATTGGAATTAACGGCGAATRCGCCTTTGTGGTTGTGAATCTTTATCTCTGGCGTGAGTGTACGGYGGCAACGCCGAACTTCCTCTCTTCGGATCTCGTCATTCTCTCTCTCGACATTCTTCCCTCATCTCCCCCCCTTCTCCTCTATCTTCGAATGATGATGTGTCTTGATGTCTCTCTCTCTCTCTCTTGAATGGGAATGAGTCGGCATGATGTTTTTGTGTAAAAGAACTTCTTCCGGAACTCTTCCATTAGTTTCCTGGGTAGTCCCCCTATGCAAGAACCCCGTCTTCTTGTCTTGTGAACGGTGGATACGTGTGTATTGTTCCGATCCATCCTTTCTGTCTCTGCGCATATCTCATTTTCGCACCTTCCACARTGAATGAATGTATGGAGATCCGCGTTTCTTTGCGTTGATTAGATGATTGTTGTTGGGATTTTGTTCGAGAATGCAAGAGTGTTTAGATATGTAGCTCTGAATGTACTGCGCATGCCATCTGCCTTATGCTGCACGACAATAGCACCCGAGCCACAGGGCGGCCCCGAGAAACAAGGCGCCTCGGATCAACGTCGCGTTGGCTCACTAAAACCGAGCCGAGGGCCGGTCCGCTAGTTACATGCATGATCAAGTTGATGAGTGTTCTCTCTCTCTCTCTCTCGTGTAGAAAAGGATTGATTGGGAGGTTGCGCGAGTGTTTTCTTTTCTTGATGACGTCTCGAGGTTTTTGCAATTGATTGATATGTGGACTTACAAGTACCCTCCGATCGGGCACCAGCCTCCCGCACCTCCCGTCTCAACACGGCCTTTTCCCTACAACAAGGAGAGGACACGTGTATGCGAGTGGGACGTACGAAAAGCCGTTGCACAAATCGGCGGACGGTACTACTTCCCTCCGGCAAATCGTTGTTCAGGGTTCGTAGAGGCTGGGTTTGTCATTATCGATACGCACTTCCCACCTTACTCGATATTGTTGCCATTCAACGAGTTGATTGTCATCCCGTGGACGGCAGTAGAACCCCACTGGCCGCGCACTCTATGCACCGAATGTCAGCGTTTTGAGCGCTACGAATCCAGGGGTTTCCACTACCGTGTGCGGAGTGAAGACGAGCATAAAGAAAGAGCCACGCGGCTGAGACCATCCACGTCAGACTCAGAACTGACCAGCGAACGATGACGAGACTTGATACGAAAACGGGACACGCGAAGCGTGCCCAATCCCTTTCGCGCTAAATGACGGGCCGTAGCGCGGTGGGAAGCTCGACAATATTTTCTAGATTGAATTCGTACGTCCCTCTCCTCTCGCGCCAAACTTCTGTGCGCATTTTGCGTCGCTTGAAAAACGATCGACTTACTTCATCAGACCAACACGGGGGATTTCAGTTCTGTCTGTGTCCCCACACTCAATTTCCAAAAATCCTTGGCACACCCCATCTTGTTGTTTTTCCGGGCCTCTTTCCGCACACCTAGCACTCCGAACGAAAGACAGCACAGGGCGTGAGGTTAGCGCGTCACATAGGTCAGCCCTAACCTAATTTGGAATGAGGGTTAGGTTAGTTCAACACCTCTCGCCAGCTAGTAAGTCCGCTCCAATACCAAATGTTACGATCCTGGTCATTTCCGAAGTGCAAATTCACAAGGAAAGACAATGCCACCCAATTGCGAAAGAAATGAAAGCATTTGCAACAAGATAGAGACCAAAGAAGGAAAGAAGAAGAAGAAGAAGAAGAAGAAGAAGAAGAAGAAGAAGAAGAAGAAGAAAAAAAAAAAAATGTACACCAACAAGACCAATGACAAATCTCCCCTTCTCTCTCTACTTCCTCCTCCTCCTTGTCTCATTCTTTTCGCAAATAATAATAATAACAATGAGTGGTTGAACCAGAATCAATATCTGAAGTTCCCTCTTACTGCCAACGCAACAATAGGTGCACCATAGCCATGGCTTCCCCCGTCAACTTCCTCTCACATGCCAGGGCTATGGCGGACTACTAATGGCTCTGCCCTCCTGTGCAAGAAACAACTCAAATCAGCTATGGCCGCTGCTCTTCAGGCCGCCATGACTGACTCTGCCTTGAAGCTTCCTCGGAGCGGCACTACCCCAACTGGGGCCTTCCAGATGCAGGGCCTAGCAAGGTGATGAAGATGTTGTCCACCAAAGCCAGTTGGGTACCTCGCCACTCTCCACCTTCGCCCCCTTCTTCCTCCTCCTCAAGCTGGCCTGCTCACCATAGCCAGGCTGAGCGCCCAGCTGCTCTCGTCCTCCAGGCAGCAATCTTGGTCCTGGCTGTCCTCCAGGCAGCACTCTTGGTCCTGGCTGCCCGCTCAAGCAGTATGTCGCCAATCCTTGCACACTGCAAACGAGGAGCTACTCATTCCTCCTGGAGATATAGCGGCCTACTTGCCTCTTGGGCGGTGACTTCCAGGCCACGCGAAACATCATTGCAGGCTCTGATATCGTCCATACAGGCCCTAGACTCAGGCTACTCGCACTGCTACCAGCCTACCTCTAGCCTACCACTACTGGGCCTCTGAAAATGACGACTTTTTGTCTTCTTCTGCTCGGCCTTGAGTACCCAACACTTCTACCACTACTTGAAAGGTACTGGCCTGCCTACTACTTGAGTGTTTGTCCCGCTGCAACCCTCAAAGTCGGGGCCACAGGTAAGTACCGGCCCTGCGGGGCCTCCAAACGAACAAGTACCCTTGCGGGTCACACACACGCTCAGGCCGACAAGCACTCAGACAGGCACACAGACCAGCAAGCACGCACACACAGAGACTTAGAAAATGCAGCAGAATGCGGGAATCTCAGCAAGGCATACATTCCAGCGGCAAATCCCAGAAATCAGCAGTGTTCTCAGTCTGTGTTTTAGTGGGTCATTATAGTTTATTATTAAGGCTCTCCTCTTCATCTCCACTTCTTCTCCACCTTTGTCTAATTTCTGGTTACCTGTCA